GGCCTTGGAGAAGCTGGGGGGTGTGTGTGCAGGGGGGTTCAAAGCCCTGACCTCCCGGTGAACAGCTCAGTGCATAGCTCAGCATGCCATCCGGGCTTCTAATCTGAAGCGCAGTGGCTAAGAAATCACTGAAGTGGACCAAGTTTGCCTGGAAGTCACTAGGCACAGTTGTCCTGGCAGTAGACAGACTGCAGCATAGGGTCTGAAGTGAAGTCCCATAACACGCGCTATGGTTTCACTTCTCACCATCCCAATCTGCGATGTGGGTCAAGGCTCTGTTTCTCCTTTCCTCCTTCCCCTTCTGGAGTTTGGCTGGTACGCAAGCCTCTGTAGGGAGCACCCAGGTCAACTCCATACAGGTACGATGGGACGGGCATCTGAGTGTGTGTGGGTGAGCAGTGACGCATGGGGGTGTGGGTGGGGGGCCTCGCTTGTGTGACACAGGGCTGCAAAGACCATTGGGGGAACAGCTGGCAATCCCAAGCAAGTTGGGTCCTGGGAAACCAGCATGGAGGGAAGGAAGGAAGAGTTTGGCTCCCTTCTCACCGCAGAGCCTGCCCGAACTCCTCGGGCAGCCGTCTGTGGGGAAACAGGAGAAGCTTTCTTCCCTTCCACAGGGTGGAGGAGGGCAGAGGCACGGTCACCCCCAGGTGCCGGTTTCTGGCCGCTCCCGAGCTGCCACGGGACACTCTGCAGAGGGTCTGTCAAGGATGGGCTTGGTCCAGGCTAAGTATCCTAGGGAGTCCAGGGTGCTGACAGCCTGGCAACGTGAGACCGAGGATGCAGAGAACCATCCCCGCCACCTGCGCCCCGTCTCAGGACCAGGTGTTGGACGTCTAATAGCCGCTCCTCCTGTCCATTTCTGGGTTTAGTACTGTGACCGCTGCTTTCCAGATAAAGAGACACACAAAGGTGGCAGGCAGATGCTGCAAACTTGCCCTGGCAACGGCCATGATGGAGGATACCCCCCTAGGAACAAGGCTGTCTCAAGGTCAAGGAGAAACGAAGGGAGCCAGGCAGGAAAGGCAGATGGAAAGGGAAACAGGAAATCCTTGGGAGTCACGTGCTCCTGGCTAGCTGCAGGGGCTGCCCAAGAGTGTGCCTTTAAAAGCCCAATACAGGTGCGGGTCAAGCCCAACTCAGTTTCGGTTTTGGCAGTAGCATCCAGTGCCCTGCAGGCAGCGGCCGGAGAGGCAGGGATTACAGATTGGCTGTCGAGCTGTGCTCCTGAGACTGGGTCAGCAAAAGAGAAGGAAGTGGCCGACAGTAAGTGTGGGTCCTCTGGGATCCCCTGATAGGATGCCACCTGGGGAGAACCCAGGTTTGGGGTTTAGGCAATGCCCTCCTCATGAGAGGGGGGTTGGAGGGTGAGCAGGATGAGGTGGCAAACTGTGTGAGTGGGGAGGGGAGGTGCAGGGGGAGTGCAGGTGCATATCTAGTGGTCTCTGACATGTACGGAGCCCCCACCCCTTTTCTCTGCTATATCAGCCGAGGACGAGGCCACAGGCTCATGGTTAGCACATGTAATTCTTCTCTTGTAAGTGTGGTCCCCGAGCTCCCTCTTAGCTCTTCCTCATGGTGACTGTGAGGAAGGCATCTTTCTCTCTCTCTCTGGGCTTCAGTTTCTTAATCTAAAAAATGGAGCTATAGCTAACCCTGTCAACAAGGAGCCCTTATGGCACAGAGGCTTAAGTGTTGGGCTGCTAATGGCAAGGTGGGCCATTCAAGCCCACCACCCACTCCACGGCAGAAAGATGAAGCTGTCTGTCTGCAACCTCAGAAACCCGGAGGGGGCCGCTCTACTTAACTTTCCCCTATATGGTCACTATAGAATTGACCCCAGGGAGGCAGCGCAGCACTTGAGAAGGCGCCTTATAAACCCTCAGAACAAAACAGCAGCTGTTTGGCACTTCTCTACTGAGTTTGATCCATGAGCGATTGATCAAAGAGCCCAGAGACCAGGATTCAGACCAAGCGGGTAAAGTACCCGACCCTTTGAAGTCTGTACCCCGAGCGGTCCTGTTGAGACTCTTTTTCTGGAATCCCAGGGAGCTCGAGATCCTCTCCAATTCCAACCCAGCTGTGCCCCAGCAGCTTCCCAGCACCGACCGACTCCTCAGTGTGTGTCTTTGTGTCGTCCAGCCTTGCTAGCTCCACTGCCACAGTGGCCCTACAGGGATGCATAGAACTGCATAGAACTGCCCCACCCGGTCTCTGAAGCTGTGAATCTTTTTGAACGTGAACTGCCATGCTTTTCTCCCACAGAATGGCAGGGTAGGTTTGAACCGGGGATTTTTGGATTATTGGCTGGTTGCTTTACCACTGAGGGACCAGAGCTCCCCGCTCTGGCTATGGTGGGGAGGCCAACACAGATAACTGAGTGAGCCGGGCAGCGCCAACATCCAAGGAGCAGGCAGCTTCCCAAGTCCTGATGCTTCTCCTGGCTCTGCAGCCAAGAGAGCCCCCCTTGCCCACTCTGACAGCATCCCAGGCCAGTACCATGGCCACGTGAAGTCCACTCACCTTCAGTTCCCTTTGTGCCCTCTCCAAGTGTCTGATGCCCCCCAAAGTGCTCACGCTGCTTCAGCCCCAGCATGCCATCACGTTCCCCTTCACCAGGGGAAACGAGAAGCTTCTTAACATCTGAGGAACCCCGAATTCTGAGTGGCACAAATGCTGAGCTACTAACTGAGAGCTTGGTGGTTGAGTGCACCCCAAGGTGCCTGGGGGAAAGATCTGGCAGACTACTCCAGAAACATCGGCTACCCACTGAGAACTGTATGAAGTACAAGTCTCCTCGGAACACGGGGGTGGTCAGGAGCTAGAGACTCGAGAGCACCTGGCTTGGTTTTCCGGTTCCTATCTGCAGAAGGGTTCACCCAGGCCATGGGCCAGGGCAGCGATTGGGCAGTGAGCATGAGTGGGGGAGAGGAGGGGCACAAGGGGCTACCCAGAGGCAGATCTGGGACTTTCCCTCCACCCTTCTCCTTGGCCTGGCTGAGGTGGTGCATCAGGAAGAACAGAACCATTAGCCTGTCTCTGAGCCTCTCCAGACCCCTGGGGGCTCATGTTACAAGTCGGTGAGCGCGTCGGCTCCACTGGGCAGAGCCCCTTACCAGGCAGGGGTAAGTTCCTATCTCCATCTCGTCTCCACCTGGATCAAACCAGGGAGGTAGGCAGCACGGGGATCCTAACTCCCATTTTACAGGGGAGGCTGCTCGGACCCCGGCCGGCGGCACGAATGGGGTCGGCTCACCCTGAAAGTATGCAAAGGAGCTCCCTCAAACAGAACCCGGCCGTCAAACCGTCTCTTCAAATACCGTTCCCCGGGCCTTGTGCTCGGTCGTGGTCCTAGGCTCTCCTCCTCTGTGCTCTGGGTGGACAGAGGCTGGAGGCCCAGGGACGCTGGCATTGGTTGACACATGGGAGGGAGCAGAAAGCAGCTTTGGCATCAGGGCACCGGTTATGGGGCACGGATGCAACGTAGCCGGCACCCTGGGGTTGGCGCCTTCACGTACAAGAGAGCAAATTGCTGTCTGAACCTGTGCCCCCTCACGCACATTGGTCTGCTGAGCCCGATGTTGCGGGCGCTGTGGGCTTTGTGTGGCTTCCAGAGACCAGACCATGTTCTCTTGGTGACCCATGTAGAGTGCCAACTGGCTACTTCCTGGGAGTAAATTGCCAGGCCTTTCTTCCTAGTCCGTCTTAGCTGAACCTGCCCACCCTGGGTGACCCTGCTGGCATTTGAAGTCTCTCCCACATAGCTTCTTCACATCGGCTGGAAAGCCACCACAGGGTAACAAAGTCACAGACGAGTGGTCAAATACACCGCGACTCTGACTCTTTTTTAGGAAGCAATGTCTCGGTCCAGGTACCTTGAGGGCCAAGCGTCTTCGCAAGAAGGGCCTTTCCTGGGCAGTGTGATAACATCGACTTCCATTGAGTCAACTTCCTCACCTCGTTTCCAGGAACGGCAGAGAGGAGGGCTGGAATCAACTCTCTCCTCCTTCCTCTGGGAATCAAACCCCTCTGCAGGACAGGGCCCACCCACAGGCTCCATCCGTCAGCAGTGCCTCACTCCAATACAGTGTAAGCTTTCCTCTGGGCAACTCAATTTCCTCGCCTCTGAAATGCAATTGCCCTGGGGGTAGTGATGGGGCTGTGAAAATTGAATGCCAGCGCTCAGTAGGAGTTGTTCTTGATGTCCGCGTTAGCTACCCTCAGTTCTATTTCAACTCACAGCCACCGGAGTGTGCAGGGCAGAACCACCCCAAAGGTCAAGGCCATGACCTTCTGGAAGCAGACTTCTAGGCCTGTTTTCCGCGGTGACTCTGGGCGCCATCCACCCAGCAACATTTCAGCTAGTTGTTGTTCGCGGTGTCCATCAGGATACTTCATACAGCCGCTGGAAACACCGCCGGAAACAATTTGTGTCACTCAGGATTCCTCACCAGGGGTTAGCAGTGAGCATTAGTATTCCCTACTGCTAGTCTAACCCCTGGAGTACATGGCCTCTGTAGGGCCACGCTGGTATGATCTACATTCTGTCTTCAAAGGCTGCCCCCCAAACAGAGATCTGCTGGCTCCAGCTCTATGAATCAGGAGCCCTGGGGACTCGTTGCTCATTGTATGGCTAAGCACAAGGTCAGCTGTTTGAAACCTCCGGCCGCTCCATGGGAGAGAGATGACACTTTCTACTCCCAGAAAGAGTGACCGTCTCAGAAACTCACAGGAACAGTCCAACCAGCTCTATAGGGTCGCTATGAGTCAGCATCAACTTGATTACGGCGAGTGTCCTGGGTGCCACTGGGCACTTCGAATTCTCAGGCACCATCTGAGTTTCCAGGGCCAGCCACAAGGAACCATTCTGCAATTTAAAACTAGCCACCAGAGGCACCGTTTCCTCTAGCCAGGCCTCTGGTTTTATGCCACCCTCCGACTCAGGGGTTACTTTTGCTTACTTACTAAATGCATACCGAACATTGTCATGTGGCTTTCGCCGCAAGATGTGCTGAGACCCACATGAAATTGTTAACTGATGTTCTTGTTAGGGGCCTTTGAGTCAGCTCCCATCCACAGCGACCATCTGCCCAACGGAAGGAAGCAAACACTGCCCGGTCTTGCACCAGAGTCACCATTGTTCTTATACCTGAGCCACTGATGCAGCCAATGTGTCCTTCCAGTTTGTCGGGGCCTGCCTCTTTTTTGTCACCCCTCTACCAAACGTGATGTCCTTTTCCAGGGACTAGCCTCTCCTGACAGTATGTCCAAAGTCTGTAAACAGGAAGTCTGTCCCTCCTTACTTCTAAAGAACACTCTAGATGTACTTCTTCCCAGACAGATCAGTTTGTCCTTTTAGGAGTTCATGGTACTTTCGGTATTCTTCTCCAGCACCACAATTCATATACATCAATCCTTCTATGGTCTTCTTCATTCAGCATCCAACTTTCACGTGCATATGACTACAGCTCGGTAAGTATGCAGGTCAATTCTGACTCCTCTACCCTCTTAGCCCTCTTTGACTGCCATCTCCCCATTTCCCTGTTGTCTGGGTATGTATCCCTTGGCTGCAACCTTGCCTTTTCTCACCCTCTCTGACACCCACATTTTTAATCTCCTAGGTAAACGAATAAACTCTTCTGCTCCTTCCTGTCTCTGGCTCTTCCAAATCACACAGGCTGCTCTGTTGGCCCTCGGGAGGCTGCCTTTGAGAGGCTTACTCTAGTCTGTGCGCACAATCACACCCAAGCAGAGACGAGTTTGGCATCCCAACAGGGCTGTAGGCAATGCCTCTTGGAAGAGCCAAGGAAAGCCCGTAGGCCTGCCAGGTCTACTGAGCTCCAGAGCTGGCGGTTCTTCAGGGTCACGCTTACTTATTCTATGGCCAGCATTGCCATAGAGTTACCAGATCACATAGCCTGCCCAAAGGCAAGCCAGGACCTTCTCCCTCTGGCAAAAGAGAGGAGAAGTCACAGGCTTGGACTCCGAGCTATGGTGGCCAAGGGGCAGCCGCTCTTACTGAAAGAGAGCAAACTGGATTGAGTTTATCAGAAGCCAAACCCTCGATGCCCTTGCCTCAATCCACAGTCATGTGGATGTATGCTATGAATACCATGAGGTCACCAGCTTGTTAAACCAAGCATGAGCTAGAACTTTCTAGTCTCCGTGGTGTAAAAGTGACCCTTTGTTCAGGAGGAGAGGAGGTGGCTTTGAGTATCTCTGTAAAAGGAACTGCTCGCTAACACAAGACAGGACAACGGGCAGCCGCTGTGCTTAGCTGTCATCCAGTCAGGTCTCAATGCATAGCCACCCCAGTGGAACACAGGGCTGCCGGCCCCACCCTGCCTAGCCTCTCCTTGCCTGTAAGCTCTGCTGAAACCTGTTCAGCATCGTAGCACTACACACAAGCCTCCACGGACAGACGGATGATGACTGCACATGTGTGTGTCACAGTGAGTGGTTGGGACCCAAACCCGCGTCTTCCCACATGGAAGGTGAGAATGCTGTAACCGAACTGCCAATGCCACTTGAGAATGGGGTGGTGGGCCTTGGGTGTCCTGTAGTCCCTAGCTGTCCCATAGCAGCACGGAGATAGGAATATTCCCCTCTTGGGTTTCTGTGCTGATGGATGGAATCATGTAAGGAAAGAGCAGAGCAAAGCCTCTCACATAGACACTCACTACTGTTGAGTCCGTTCTGCCTCCCAGCCACCCTGCAGGAGAGCGTAGAACTGGCCCCTGCGGTTTCCAAGGCTGTAGCTCTCTACAGAAGCAGACTGCCATCTTTCTCTGACCTTTCTGTTCGCAGCCCGATGGTTAACTCATGATGCTGCCAGAATTCCTAAGCTGGCACATAGTAGCTACCTGAGAGGTATACATTCCTTCCTCCTTTCTTTTAGGAACATCTTTTCAACCCCATTCCAGCCACTCTGGAGCTGGGGCCTCCCAGGCCCGAAATTCTTGGCCGTGGGAGGAAGTCTGGTTTTGAGAGGATATGGTCTCTAATGATTCCCCAAGCACAGGGCCTTTCAGTTGCTGGTAGAGAAATTGTGCTTCAGTGTTTAGTTTGGAGCAGTGATGCCCTGCTCCAGAGAGCGTGGATGCCTGCTCTCTCTCTCTCTCTCTTTCTCTCTCTCTCTCTCACTAGCTCGCACAGGACTGAACTCTGAGCTTCCTGGTCCAGGTCATGCCCTCCTGAATTTGCCCTTCCATCTGTACATGCCTGAGGCTCTCGATCCTGGCCTGGAATCGTGCAAAAGGTCCTGGGTACACACACCTATTCTCCCTCCAGGCCTCCTCTTCTTGCAAGCCCCCTGCAGGTGCGCAGAAACAGGAAAGCCCTTGGCACAAGGAGAGAAGGAAATTCTGACCTCGTCTTCCCTCTTGTAGCCATTTCTAATTGGATCCCTCTTGGCTGACCAGCTACTGCTGCGCTGCCTTCTGATCGCTCCTTCCACCTGGGAACCTTTCACTCGCTCAGGAGTTCCCCCAACAGTGTATCTTGGTGTTTCTAGGTTGACTCTGGCATCTGGCTCAGGCCCCACTGCCGGAGTTAATCATTGTCCCATGTGGAAGGTCTGGACTATCGACGGACTCCAGAAAGCCACAAATTGCCACCTGACACCCATTATCTGCCACACCACCTCCAACTTGCCCATTCCCCGGCCCCTTAGTCTTCCAGGGAACCAAAGAAACAGAATGTCTTTATCTCCATAAGGAAATAAAAGAGATTTACTGGGAAATTCCCCTAAGAGGAAGAACAAACCAAGATAAACAATTCTATTGCCTTTAACTTGAGCTAGTCCAGGGTGTTTCTGGGAGGAGAGAGCAGAGGCCAAGGTAATCAGGGGAGGCCTGGGAGGGTGAGGGGGGTGTCATGTGCTGTGGGCCTTGTTCCTGGCCTCCTGAGAGCTTCCTTATCTTGAAGGACACTCATTACCGACCAGGGCTTCTTATCTGCGCTTTCTCTTTTTAACACTCTCTTTGTCAAGTCCGTACCAACCTTTCAAACTTATTAAGGTCCATGGGAAAAGGCAGACTCCTCCCGCCTCTGCTCTCCTGCCCTAAGCTATGGTTCGTATCTGACCAAAGCTGCCCGGCAGGGTGAACACTGAGATCCTCTGCCTCCCCAGCCTTAGGCCAAGCCCAGAATGGTGCCAGGGTCCCCATAGGCACCCTGGACATGACCTTATCTTGCAGTCTCCACCATGAACTGCCCTTGGCTCACCAGGCAGGAGATCCAAGGCCAGATCACCTCCATTTTTTTTAACACTCCCACCGGAACTGAGTGTCCTGGGATACCTCGGGCACGGACACCCAGCATCTTAAGATCTTGATTTTCTGAGGTGCCTGTTACTGCTCGCTGCCATGGGACTGTCTCCCCACTCTGGGCCAGCCCCTGCACCATGAGATGGGATGCCGCCTGTTCCTGCACTAGCCCCACCATCGGTGGCAGATCAGACCCTTGTGGTCCATAGCCTTTTCATGGGCTGTGTTTCTGGCAGGAGATCGCCAGGCCTTTCTTCCTAGTCTGTCTCTGTCTCCGGAAGCTTCACTGAAACCTGGTTTTCATCACAGCCACAGCGAGGTGCACTGACCAGGAATCGCGCCTGAGTCGCCAGCGCAGAAGACGGGAGTTCTATGGTAGCAGTGATTGTGTGGTAGATTTCTTATCCGTAAGCAGTCCCAAGTAAATCTCTCCTGTCTTGTTTCAAGGGAAGGCTCTGGTGAAGTAGTGTTCATCATCATGCTTTGATAAGCCAAGGAGGCTCTCCAAAAGACAGGGGTAATGTAAGCATGCGGTATAAGCACGCCTCTGTTTGAAGCGCGGCGCAGCACAGCGGGAGAGGCTAAGAACATGGACTTTGGAGTCGGACAAATCTGGCTTTCATCGTTTTGCCCCCTCTACCTCCACCTCCTCATTCCCGCGTCACCTTGAGGAAAGTGTTTAATCTTTCCGTTTTCATTTCCTCAGCAGTAAAATGTGGACGGGACTCTCCCGACTCGCACCTCAGAGGGTTGATGCGTATAAAGTCTAACTGAGAGATGGCCTGGAAACGATCCAGGACGCGGTAGGAGAGCAAGCTCCGGTGGTCATCAGGACGATTACATTTACGACCCTAATGCATTCTGAGTCCTCTGCCCACAGGCCTCAGCTTGTCCCTCTGACCTCACCAGAGAGCATGCCAGCCACCTCTACCTCTCAGGAATGTATCAAAGGGCCCTAATCAGCTGGGGCTGCCTCTGGCTGAGAGATGCAAGCATCCGAGGGTTGTTCCTGGGATCTCAGGGTGTGCCCAGGGCCAGGCCTCACGGGAGGGCGGGGAAGGAGCGGGACAGAGAAGTCTTTATCCCAAGGTGCTTTCAGCTTAGTCGGGAAGACAAAATGCACTTGTAATGAGTGAGGAACGGTACGTGCTGTGGACGGAGGGGACAGCTGGAGCCCTGCGTCCATTCATTCAGCAGGATGGATGTCCGTCTCTGGAGGCGCAAAAACAAAGAAGTGCTACAGAAACGCTGAGGCCAACGAGCCCCGAGAGACAGAGACGTTTCATCGCCTGTGGTTGTTGTCTTCCAGAATCTCACACAGGAAGTCACCTGGGCTGCTTAGCCCTTGAAGGAGCCACCCACCATGACGCCCTTGCTCCTCTACCAACTGCTGACAGTTCTTCCAGGTGCGTCTTTCAGTCCGAACGAACTCCCCATAGCTCCCCAACCTTCACCCACCCCTCCACCACCTAGTTCCCAGGAGTCTTTGAAACGAGATCCATCCCCAGGGATATTCCTCTTAACACATGTGCACACGGACAGGGCAGAAAGAGGCCCGGTCTACAAAGAGATGGCGAGGGTTGAGGATCAGGGCCCATCAGTGCCTGCTTGCCAGGCCAGGGATCTGATGTCTTCCCTGGAAATAAAACGGGCACTGCCCCCGGGGCCAAGCATCTCTGTGATTTGTTACGGGTTTTGGAGAAGTCCCTTTTCTTTCCTGACTCTCGATATTTTTATCTTTAAAAAAAAGGAAATAATTTGCAAAGTCTTTTTAGAAATTAAAATAAATAGCACACGTAAAGGCGGAGCATCCTACAAAGGTAGAGTTAACTTTTTGATGGGAAGATACATTTTATGGTTTGCTCTCTCATTGCCCTTGAAGTGGGTATCACGTAATGCACTCAATATGTAACTTACTAGCAACCTATCAGTTGTTTTACCAATTCCAGCAAGGGCCTAGGTGTCATATAGGCTATATGTTCCACCCATGGAGCAGTTGGACATTCTTTATCTTGTCAAAGTGGGCTCTCTCTGTCATCAGAGACTGCCTCCCAAGGGCCTCAGGAAGCCTGTCCTCCTTCTCCACAGTGATTGCCGCCAAGAGTCCCATATTTGGTCCCCAGGAGGTGACTAGAATGGAAGGCAGCTCAGCGTCCATCCAGTGCTACTACCCAAACACCTCTGTCAACCGCCATTCCCGGAAGTACTGGTGCCGGCAGGAGCCCAAGGGCGCGTGCATAACCCTCATCTCCTCCGGGGCCTTCGTCTCCAAGCAGTATATGGGCAGAGCTAATCTGACCAACTTCCCAGAGGAAAACAGGTTTGTGGTGGACATCAGGGACCTCACGCAGAGCGACTCTGGGAGATACAAGTGCGGCGTGGGTGTCAATAACCGAGGCTTGTCCTTTGATGTGACTCTGGAGGTCAGCAAAGGTAAGGACTCGGGGTCCTCGGGCTTCTGTGGAAAGGGAGAGGGAATGACCTCAGGGGCTGGTCTCTCCACCCACTAGAAGCAAGGACTTTTCATAAGAAAGTAACGGGAAGGAGACAAATGGGGTTAACACAGGGGCACGGGCCCACTTCCTGTTTGTGGGAGGGCTATATCCTTCCATAACTCTACTGAGGGCCTAGTTTTGATTTGTTTTTTACAACTCATACAACTCAACACAATCCATACATACATCAATTGTATAAAGCACATTTGTACATTTGTTACCCTCATTATTTTTTTTAATTATTTTATTGAGGGCTCATACAATTCTTATCACAGTCCATACATACATCCATTGAGTCAAGCACATATGTACACCTGTTG